GCAGGAATGATAGGTGTGAAGTTAATATGTCAAAATAATGAGGCGGAAAAGGTCATGGTGTCTTTGGGGGAAGAATGAGAAATCAGCATTAACAAAATCTAGGATGCATACTGGAAAGAAGGGCCCAGATTTTGAGAGGCTTAAATTTGAAGTCAGGATGCCTGGTTTTTGTCCTTTAGGCAGCGGGGAGCTACTAAAGCAAGGACGTGAAATGATCATACTTGCTGTTTAGTAAGATCCTTGTCGTGGCTGTGTGGAGGTCTCTAGGATTGAGGAAAGCATTCAGTAATGTCAGAACAACTGGGACCTTGCTACTCGAATTATCCGCCGTGGAGTATCAGCTTCAATATCAGCGTCACCTGGGAGCATGTGAGAAATGCAGACTCTTGGGCCTCACCCAGAGGTACTGAATCATTTTAAGGAGATTCCCAGGTGATATGTGTGCACAGTAAATCGGGAAGCTACATTGATAGGTAGTGCTTATGGCATTCATGTAGGACCCATGGGAGGGATGACCTGAACTTTTTCCTTCTCTTATACCACAGATTCACAAACCACACCATGATCTTTTTATCCCCATTTTTGAAATGCTGAGAGAAATTTTTAAATGTATATTTCAATAATTTGAGAAATTTTGAAAATTCTTTTAAGCCATGGCTTTTGGAAACATTTTTGTCACAGGTTGTTAATGTACGAGTGGATTCAGGGAGGCACGCACAAGAGACTCTTATACCTGCGCTATCTTATTTCTTAAGCTTGGTGATGGGATGCAGGTGTTCATATATTACAATTTGCTGTTTTATGTAGGTTGCAATATTTTATCATTCATATTCATAAACTCTTGATTCAACAGTAATTTTTACTGATGTACAAAGGGAAAAAGGGCAAGAAACTTCACCCAAAATGGTACCTCAAGACTCATGTCAGGGGTGGGAGAACATAAATGATGGTGATAATATTCGTGTGAATGGTAATAGTTACATTTGCTGAGTGCTTAATAGATACTATTTTGGGTATACTCACTATGTGCTAGACACCATTTTAAGTGCTTTATATATAACTCGCTGAATGCTCATGACCACTTTAGGTGGCAGGACCTATTATTTATCATGATTTCATAGGGACATATTTTTTTTTAATTTATCAAAGTATAGTTGAATGATAATGTGTTAATTTCTGCCGTATACCACAGTGATTCAGTTATACCCATGTATGCATTCTTTTTCCTATTCTTTTCCATTATGGCTTATCACCAGATATTGAATATAGTTTCCTGTGCTATACAGTAGGAGTTTGTTGTTTATCCATTCTATATATAATAGTTTTTGCATCTGTTAATCTCAAACTCTCACTTCATCCCTCCCCCACCCCCCATTCCCCTTGGCAACCACAAGTCTATTCTCTATGTCTGTATGTTTCTGTTTCATAGATAAGTTCATTTATTTTGTATTTTAGATTCCATATATAAGTGATATCATATGGTATTTGTATTTCCCTTTCTGACTTACTTCACTTAGTATGGCAATCTCTAGGTCCATCCATGTTGCTGCAAATGGCATTATTTCATTCTTTTTTATGGCAGAGTAGTATTCCATTGTATAAATGTACCACATCTTCTTTATGCATTCATCTGTCGATGGACGTTTAGGTTGTTTCCGTGACTTGGCTATTGTAAATAGTGCTGCTATGAACGTAAGGGTTCATGTATCTCTTTGAATTATAGTTTTGTCAAGATATATGCCCAGGAGTGAAATTGCTGGATGATATGGCAACTTTATTTTTAGTTTCTTGAGGAACCTCCATACTGTTTTCCATAGTGGCTGCACCAATTTACATTCCCACCAACAGTGTAGAATGGTTCTCATAAGGATATTTTCATAGATGGGAAAAAAAAAAAAGTGTGAAGATGTTAGATACCTGGCCCAAGGCCACAAACTAGAATTTGGACTCAGTTCCCAGAAATTCCAGGTCTAAGTTCTTAATCACTACACGATAGTATAGTATGTACACAGCCTCTTTGCATAAATAGATATTGATTGAAGACGATTAAGGATAAAGGATCCTAATGAAATAAAGGTACTCTTTTTCCTTGGCCAGGTCAGAGCAAAGCAATGCAATACATTTTTGGCTTTGGGGAGACAATTCTTATAGCATTTGTTAGCTGTCTTCTGTATACCTGAACTTGGTAAAATGCAATTTGGAGCTAGAAATGAATGATATTGAGAAACATCCCATTTGAATTTAAAATATGGAGAAAATCCACTAATTAAAAAACCAAACTATATAAGACCTCTCTTTGAAACATCTACACTGCACAAGTCCCCAATTTTCTGTAACTGAACTTGTAACCTTCCTTCTAGACCCACAGGTAAATGTCATTCTGCTGGAAATCTCCCCATTTTCCAAGATGGGCCACCTCCTCCTTTCGTTCACATCCCCTCTACCTGTGATGATAATAATAATAGCTGACACTTATTACATTACGGTGTGTTGAACATGTTGTTAGCACTTAACTTATTTTATCTTCTAACAGCCCCATGGACAGTTATCACTATCCTCATTTTACAGAGGAAGAAACTGATATATTTTGAGATTAAGTAACTTGTCTGACATCATGCAGAGACAGAATTCAAATTTCAGAAGTCTGACCCTGGAGCTGGATCTTTATCACCACAGAGCTATCTGCCTCCCTTCCCACATTGATTCAATTGTCTTTCCCCCTTTCCTGACTCTTTCTAAATCATTCATTAAAGTATTGAGTGTATCTTGCGAATTGGGTTTTCTTTCCAGTGCTGGGAATGCATTGGTGAACAAGCAAAGGTGCTTCCCCTCTCGGCAAAGGGTGGAGGGCAACATCTTCTAAAAAGTGAGAACAGCATAATTAAAGGTGTGGAAGGGAGAGAGTGAACAGTCCTTCCCAGAGCTCCTTCGTGGATGGAGCATAGAGTTCACTGAACAGAAGGGTGAGTCTTGAGGCTGGAGAGCTGAGCAGAGCCAGACCATAAAGCTTCTTCTAGCGTTGTAAGGAGTTTGGGTTGCAATTTTACCGTGAGGGTAATGGTTTTGAGGACATTTCGGAGAATGTGCATTTAAAGTATATTCATTTACATATTGGCACTTCATTAGCGACTTTAAAGAAACTAATCAGCCATTAACTTCATGTTCAGAAAGTCTCATTCAAGAAGTTTTTTAAAGAATAACAATGAAAGACATTGGGGAAAAAGAAACCCAATAAAACGTAACACTTTATTATTATTTGTTATCTTAGAAGGAATTCACCAAAGGCTTCATATTATGCTATGGCATCTTTAATTATAAAAATAAGCAAATAAAATAACTTGCATCTGTCATTACCATGATATGTTTCATAACCTTTATATGCACATGGAGCTTAAAAATGTAATTTAACAATAAATAATGACATATACCAGATATGCTCACTGTTTATTCCAGTACTCAGCCAAAAACCTAAATATCATTTAAATTATAAATACATAATGCAAATATAATGGCACAAAAATGTCTAAAGTGCAACCAAATCACAAGAGAAGAATCATGCAAACTGGTCTAGGTCAGCCCCGGAATCACTCTGTGCAGCAAACACAAGACAAAGCTTTGGAAGTTTAAGGGGGACTTGGAGGGAGCAGGATGGGAAGAAGAGAAGCAAAAAACTAGCAACATTGTGAGAACTGCTTCTTTCCATATGTGTAGATATATGTATTATAGATACATATATAAATATTATTGTGGGGAGAAAAGGAGGGGGGGTACCACGGTTTGAAGAGGTCACAGCAAATCAAAGAGAATCCACTGGACGGAAGTAAGAGAGAATTTTGTTAGGAATACTCATGAACTACTCGTTGCATCGGGGTCCTGGCTTAGTGGGTTTGAGAAATGGACACAACACGCAAAACTGTAATAGCTTTTCTGGTTTGGAGAAGCCAGCCTTGCCTGCAGGGGAGGAATGGGTGAGGGGGGGTGGGGAGGGATAGTCAACTTAGAGTATGATCTACCTGATTTCCAAGAGGCTAAGGCAGTGTCCATATGTTTGGGGACCTGGGGATGGGACAGTTCTGAGTATAAAAATGCTCTTAACAATCTGATGTCAGCACGCTGAGAGGCTGTGTGGGGACAAAGGCAGCCACGCTTGTGCTGCTGCTGGGTCTGTTGCATTCGCTCTTGGTCCTTGAGCAGCACGTTACTGGTTTTAAAGGCTTTGTGGTAAAGTTGTATTGCTTTTCGTTTTTCTGGGGATGTGCCCTCCCTCCTCCCACCAGCATCCCTAACACTCGATTTGGGCAAATCTGGAGTTTATCCTAGTGAGAGTCAAGCACCAATGGTTTCTACCTAAGCGAGTTTGGAGTGGCCCTTACAGTCCTACCCCTCCTCCCTCTTCCTCTCTCAACATTGACCTTTGGTGGGCAGTGACGCTCCTAAGGGACTGTTGGGTTCAAGGACAGTGACCCTGAGAAACTACTGTTGTTCATAGCTAGGTTAATCATTTGGCTTTGGTGGTCGCCATCTTGTAAACATCACGGCAGAAATGATCAAACCGCCAGCTCTTTTTTTCCTCTTTCTTTCATTTTTTTTTTTTCTTTTTTCTTTTTTGCAATCCTACAGAGATGGCCCAGCTGCCAGGACTACTTTGGCAGGCAGCGTGCTACAGGACAAAAATGTAAGAGGAGTCTATTAAGGCTGGACAGCCCAGGGTTATTTATACCCCCTCAGCCCCAAGTCCCCCAAACTAAAGACCCAAAGGCTGATTGACTCATTCCTGATTGAGTTAATGGAAAGCCTCCTACCCCATCATCAGGCTGCCAGAGTACCAGGCACTGATGAAAGGCAGAAAGTCAAGAACTGCCACTTCCCAAGGTATAGCAGGCCTTATCACACTCTAAGTGGTCCAAGCCCAAAGGGATGCTCTTTTTGGTTCCTGTAATTCTCAGTTGGATGTGACAGAGCTGTTTCAGAATAGGTCTAAGTCAAGAGGAGCCTCTGGGTTGAGGTGGGCTGGGAGATGAACATCTTGCCTGGGGTCCTTCAGATAAACCTGTTGGTTTTTCCTATCTCATACAGGCCCATCTTAAGTTCTGATGTTGAATAAGACTACCTCTACCCCCTTAGTTATAAAAAAGGCCACAAGGAGCATTTATGTGGATATCTGGAAGTGAGATAGTTATTCCATTCCCAGGAAAAGAAAAATAAAGCTAAGTTACAAAACTAAATCTATATGCAATAAAGTTATTATATACTGCTTTGTTTAAGCAGAGTCCTCTGGAATTTATGTACAGTACATTAGTTTTCACCTATTTATATTCCACAGTTAGACCTTAAGATTCTCTGGATTTAAGACAATTGTTAAAGATACTTTTAAAGCTCTGAGCAGTTACAGTACATAGAGATGTTAGCTTTTTGTTTTTCATTAGATGCAAGAAGATGCAGGCTCCAAGTCTGGTTGGAGAGCCAGGCTCGAGCAATTTGGTAAATGTGTTGGGAAGGAAATTAGACATTGAAGATCAAGACCGTAAGACACTAGCTCATGAGAGATCAAGAATTCAAATATGACATTCATATTCGTCCATGGCCAGCACAGATTCATAACACGAATTCCACTGAGCATCTTTATGAGCATTTTAAGACATGCATTTAAATTAAGTTGCTTCTTACCAGCTAACTCTACTGGGGCAACCATTCTAAAGGGTTCCACATCTTCAAATTACAAAGTCTGGGGAATTACATGAATGTTTTGTGTTTGAGAGTCATTGGAGGGGAGCTGGGAAAAGACCTGGTAGAGGAAAGTGGTAAAAGAGGCCACTTTCTCCTGAGGAGAGGCAGAAAGATCACACGTGTTCTGTTGGTGAGAATGCCGCCATCGAAGAATGTTGAGAGATTGATTACAGAAGCCTAGTTTCATGCAATTTTTTTTTTAAGGGGGGGGATAGAAAATAGGAACTACTTAAAAAAATCAAACCAGGCACAGTACACTCGAAGTTGGTGAGCGAACACCCTTAAAATGATCGTAGTTTGGTGAGGTTGTGAATACCTCTCCCCGGCTATGCACTCTCGTGGGAGGTGCGTTTGATGAGGGAGGGAGAGGCCACCTCACCTCGGAGGCTCCTGAGGAGGACTTTCAGCTTCTGTGGCTCGTTGGCACGCCTCCTGTTGAAGTCAGCTCGCTGGTGTGTGTGGGCACAGTGGTCTGTCTGCAGGATGTGAAAGAGGCTGGCCATGTTGGGTCCGATTTTCTCCATCAGGCTGTCTCTGATTGTGCTGACTGTGTCTTCGTCACATTCCAGTAGGCTTCGGACAAGTCTGTTATAGTATCTGCATTGGGAAAGAGAGGGTCATTCAGTGAGAGCAGGGCAAGACCCAGGCTTTCATCTGGGCTCCAGTCAACACCCGTCCTGAATGGCCAGATCAAGCACCCACGAATAGTTGCCTCAGCTGAAGGTGGCTTTTGCTTCTAACCTTTAGGCAGTGTCTTCTTAGTGTGAGTGCTTGCGCTGTCTGGATTTACCACCCAGTGTAAGACAGCTCTGTGTTCACGTTTAGAGCTCAGGAGACTGAGATCGTACTTTGAATAGTAGGCTCGTGGCAATGTCTAAAATGTTTAGAAAGAGAGAATCGTGGAGCTAGATGGGATCACAGAGACGATTTAATGACTCTTTCATCATTTCATTGTATAGAGAAGAAACTAAGGTGGGAGAGCTGAAATGACTTGTCTGAGGTCATACAATGGGCTAGTGGTCGAAGCAGGACTTAGTCAAATGTATGAGGTGACCCAACACTCACACTTATGTTTTAATAGTCATTGCACATGGATGCAATCATTTGCAGTTATTTTGGTGCCTCTTTGCGATTTTTCTTTTTCTTGGTGGGGGGTGTGTGTGTGTTTGTGTGTGTGCATATTCTGATTAATTTCTTTTTTTTTTTTTTGGCCGTGCTGAGTGGCATGTGGGATTTTAGTTCCCTGACCAGGGATCAAACCTGTGCCCCCTGCAGTGGAAGTGTGGAGCCCTAACCACTGGACTGCCAGGGAAGTCCCTAAATTTCTATTTTTAAAGGAGATCCCTGTCTTCAGTATCTCATGCATTTTTCTACTCAATCTAATTTCCCTATCATACACTTGGCTAGCCTCTCTGAAGGCTATTGTCTCACCTCATTTTCAGTCTTCTTGCAAAGGCATATTGCAGTCAGAGGGCCAAATGCCAGGCAACGAGGATATTTAAATAGAAAGATTGGTGATCCTTAGTGGTTTGTGCTTCAATAGTTTCAAGAAGCCTTCTCCCACTGCTCTAGATTGTGCTGCCCTCTCCTTTTTGGGGATGTTTTATAGATATTGGGTTACCATCGTACAGGTCAGCATTTGATGGTTTACTGATGGTTTTGTCTTCCTGACTAGGCTGTAAACTTACTGAAGGCAGGATATGTGTCCTTATTCTTTGTATCCCTCATGTGCCCATGTCCTAGGGCTATAGTGCCTGCACACTGTCATTTTGCTGATTTATTTTGTGGCCACTGAGAGAATGGAGCTTTCAAAATAGAGTTCTTTCCAATGTCATGATTCCCCAAAGAAAAAATTATCTGTAGGTCTTCTGGTAAGTTTTACAAAAGAATTTATGTTTGGTATAAATTTCCTTCATCTTTGGTGCAAGTTCTTTAAGCCTCCAAAATGCTGCAGCTAACTGTTATGGCTCAGAAAGGATAAAACTGTCTAATATATTTTTTTTCCTGAAGACTATGGTTTAATCATTTTAAATAGTCACAGGACATGTTTCCACATATAAGGTGACAGTGAAGAAGATGTGAAAACAATTGTGTAAATGTTGTACAGCACATAGTCCTATAGGTAATACTCCCTTTGATGCAGGTTTTTGAAAAATCAGTACATATGGGTTAGACAGCATGGAAACTACCAAAACAAAGATGGAGTCTTTTATGACATAGAGAACACACTTAAACCTTGTCCTTGACCTTTTATCAGTAAACTGTCTTAATAGTTAAGGCATATGAATTACTCATCCTATTCTTTGGGAAGACACTTCGGGTATTTCCCAATTTGAATTGGGATGCATTTGCTCCATTTCGAGGTGGCAGTTGTCAGAACCCATTAGCTCTGTGTTCACTAATTAGAGACTGTCCTAATGACGGTGGTCTGCAGCATTTACGTGGAGAGACCCTTTCCTCAGAGGAGCCCGAGGACTGCCGGACCACAAGGTCTGCCGTGAAAAGAAACCTGTTTATTTTTAACTCACCTCACAGAGCACAGGATCAAACATCTTTCCAGAATAACTTAACCCCCCAGAGAGGTCCTTTCAAGGATGTACAGTAAATAGAGTGGAATGTGGGCACTGAAGCAAAGCCATCACCCTTCTGTGAGGGAGCAGAACCAAGCTGGGGACAGAGGGAGAAATGTGTCTGGGTCTCCGATATAGTCCTGGCTCTACCCCTCCCATGAGGGAGGATTATATCCAGCTGTTGGTATAACTGGGATTCCCTGGCACAGAGACACATTTTCCAACCCTTTGGAATTATAAAGCACATGAGTCAAAGCAGATCTCACTTGGATGGGGAAATGGGGAGAAAAGTGGTTTTGGAAAAACTGAGAATAAACTACTTTGTACCATTAGCTTCAGACATCTACACACCCACACAGATCCCCAGGCATCTCGTGGGCTCTGCTAGGATGTGGGTCCCCTGGATCTCTTTGTCTATTTCAAACGGTGATTAGATCCTAGAGAAAAAGGTTTCTGACCCCTCATCTTCCTGCCCCTCAATAAGGACTTTATAACTTAGAAGTTAACCCTTCCACTTCTAGAAAGAAAGAACTGTTCACACCAAATGATCTTCCAGATGGGCTGGAGAGGATGACCTTTCCTTATATCAACATGGAAAACTCTAGTCTGGATGAAGACGTCTAACACCAGTAAGGACACTAAGCTTCTGTAACTAGCCTCACCTCTTTAAGGTCAGACGCGTTCCTCTGGCCCCCACTTTGTCAAAAGACCTCTTCTCCATCTCTGAGAGAGCCTACCTTTACTGTTACTTTCTCTGCTGGCCCCGATAGGCCACCTGTTCTTGGTGCTTCTTGAGGATGACCCTTGCCAGCCTGACTGTTCTTAGCGACTCCCCCCAGATCTACCCTTCGCTTCTCCCATGGAGCTGGTTACCTCAGCAGGGGCAGGCTAAGAGAGCTCCTTGGAATAGATAACAGCCATGGCTCCAGTAGCGGCTCCTCCAAGTGTGGGAAACCTATCAGGCTGCCTTGATGACAACACCGTTTGCCTGAGCAAGCAATAGATTAATCCCACACCTCTCTATTGAGGGCCAGAATATAGCATTGACCTCTGGGGTTGTGTGGGCTGATGAGACAGACCTTTCCTATCTCTAAGCCACTCAGCGAGGTTATTGAAGAGTTTTAGCAATTGTCATGTATTCCTTGATCACTGTCTTGGACCAAGACTTGATGTTACTATAGCTATTGGTGAGAGATGTACACAAATTTAATTGTTGATCACCAGTGGGTACATTTATTCCATTCTACTTGGAATTCCATTTTTGGATTGTGGACTTTATCTGCAGGTTTTACTGGCTGCCATTTTTGCAGTGGAAATCAAATAGCCTGGCTCAGGGCCATGTGAATTGTAGGCTCAACTCTGTCATTCACTAGCTGTGTGACCTTCAGCAGATCACCCCTCTCTCTAGGTCTCTGGCCTTTAATCAGTAAAATGAGGCAGTTAGTCTAGGTAACCTTTATGGTCATTTCCAGCTATGACATTTTATGTTTCTGGGGTTCAGTATATACGCACCTTCTCAATTTAACAAAAAGTAGTGCAGCTCTGCTTAAGGCCCATCCTTGGCAGGAAGAGTTACAACTATTTAAGAAGATGCCTTTCTTCATCTTTATGGGGAGTGGTGGTGGGATGTACTCCCAAGACTTAATGGGCTAAGTGTTCAGATCACCCAGCCTGGAAGGACCCTTTAAAGCATGTTTCTTTCCTCCCCCTTTGAAAATTCCATCACTGACTTCTTTCCTCGGTAAATAAGATCAAATATTCTCCATAGCTACTGTTTCAGCCATGCTTACCCAAATACACACATACTGCCTAGGAACCGTTCTGTGTGAAGGTTTATAAATAGTCCTTTGTTTCCCTTGATCAATATTATTCTTCTGTTTCCTGTTCCCTATCCATGCCCTAGAGAGTTGGAAGCTTTGTCAGTTTTCCCATCTGGATCTGGATTGGTTTCATTTCTTCTCAGGCCTCATGCTGTCCAGCCTGCCTGATCAATTGTGCCTGCTTCCCTCATGGTTGAAAGTAGAGTTTACAAATATCAGCCAGGGGGACGCTCCAGCTATCCTTTGTGTTCTAAGTGCCTTTCTGTCATGGAAAACCTCCCTGTTCTGGCTCCTGGTCCAGTCACAGGCTTTTGGATTCTCCCAGGCCCAAATCTCATGCTAGATAAGTCACAGGAAGGTGGAATGAACCTGTAACTACTTCCTTTCACAGTTCTTTGCCAACTTGTACAACATAGTGTGTATCTGTGGTGGGACAGAGGCTGGGAAAGCAGGATGTTTCAGAAGAGTGAGGAGCTTAAATAGAGCAAATCGAGCCCAGCGTGGAACCGGAAATCTCTAGCTCTGAGCAGGAATAACATTAGCCAGTTCAAGTGAAGCAACTGGAGAAAGGTAAGAGCTGCATGGAGGATTCTAGCCTTCAAGGGATGACCTTCCTTAATAAGGATGATTCTTCTAAGATGATAAAGGGAGATAACTAGACTCCTGTGACCCTTTTCTAAAGGTGGTGAAAACAAGGCACCTATTGAAAAGAACAATGGCCTGGTTAAAAACTATTACTAGTCTCTTCTTAGATTGTTAGGATCACCGGTCCAGAATCTGTATTCTCCTTTCTGTAAGACCTCCTCTTCATAATATCTCTACCTCAGTTGAACTAGAGATATTAGTATTGTCTCAAAACTGGCATTATGCCGTATTATAGATCATGAATTGTCACTGGACCATTAAAGATCAAAACTTATAATAACGACTGTGCTAACATATTCCTGCCCCCCAGCTACCACATAAACACATACTAAAGAGACAGGGCACTTGAGATAAATGCTGAATTTGATTTTCCTGTTCTCAGAAAATCAGTTAGGACCGTGACAGAGTCACTTCCAAGGACTGAACAGACGATTTTTATAAACTGACATGAGGTTCCGAAGAACAATGATCTGTAGTTAAGAGTGAATCAGAAATTTACAAAGTTTAACGTCAGAGGCCTTAACCTTTCCCCAAGGGGGAGCTACTTTTCCCATTTTCCAGTTGCGTGTGTGTACAGGACTAACCCACTGGTGAGCCCCAGAAGGACTAGGTTATTGCCAGTATCTGAAGAAGGGTGGCAGCATCTGGCTAGGAAATTAATCAGGTAAGTCTGCGTTAGCGCTCCTGTGGTCAGAGTAGCACATTAAGGTCTGATCTTTGTGAATATGTGCAGATTTGGCTGCAGAGTCAAAGAATCATAGCACTTCAGGACTAGGAGTCAAGTCAGTGGCATCACAGTAGGCTGAACTTGACCGTTCTGCACTGCCCCTGCCATGCCTCCATGCTAGCCCCATCAGCACCTTTCTGAACTTGATCACAGTTGGGGAAGCCCAGGTCTTGCCAGGAAACTTTCTATGCCATGGAATGAGCATGTCTGCCATCTCATGTCTTAGATGTTCACACCTGGCTGGTAAAGACAGTGAGTCAAGGGCACAGAAAAGCACGATGCTCAGATATTACTAGTTCAGTGGCTTAGGATCAGTTTAGAATACTAAGATGAGAATGTGATCTGGGTAGTCACCAGAACACCCTTCCAGGAAGTCTTGGACTAGACAAATGGGATAACAGACCTGGAAGGGACCACAGGAATCATCTAGTCTAGCCACTTCACTTTTCACAAAGGAAATTTGAGTCCCACCAAAGTCAGATGGTTCGCTCTGGGCTACCCAGTGAAATATCTGATTGGGCTTAGGATGGACTCAAATATTTGCAGTTTTAAAACTCTGCATTATGACATTTGACCAAGGTTTTCATAATGGCCAATGGCACTGTGCATAGTCATGATTTCAGCCCAATTTGATGTCTCAGAATCTTGTTTCCATAAACTTCACAATTCCCTTCAGGCTTATGGAAGGAAATAGACAATGCACCCAGGGATGCTGCGGATGAAGTTTTCTATTAGCTGCATGGAGAGACTTTTCCTATAACAGTGAAAAAAAAAAAAAATCCAGGCTGCTTAAGCTGTCACAACCAATCACAAACATATTTTTTTCCTGCAAAAGCTGGGAAGACTGCAAGCTAAAATAAGAGCATCACTGTGGCAATTTAACTCCTTCTGTGTCTGGCCCTGCCGACCAACCACTCCCCCTCCCCCCGAACTGCCAAACGAGTGGACTCATTTCGTACCTGTTGGAGAAGTGATTAGGGAGCTGGACGACTTCCGTGATGGCTTCAGGGTTCCGCTTGGCGACACTACACACGTTCAGCTTGCTGTAGCACTCCTCCTGCACCTCGGCAATCATCCTCTGGAAAGTGGAGCACCTCCGAATGGCCAGGAAGACCTTGGAGGTGACCCCGTTGGCGATGCACTTTAAGCTCTCTTTGACAAATGCTTTTCCCTGCCGAGGAAGGAGGGTAGGAGGACAAGATTTAGCTTGAGCTGACAAGAGAGGACAGGGCCTATGATATGTGGAACTTAAGGGGGCTCACCTTGGCACTGTCTCATGGCCCTCTCTGCATGTCCTTGCAATAAGCGAACTGTACCCTGCGACCAGGATTTTTTAAAAAGTCCCTATTCCCTTAGACTACCTTGAGAATTGAGCTACATAGAAATGAAATGAGATGAGAAAAAGAGATGAACCGTAAACAACCATCCTTCAGCCTAAAAATAGCCATAATATGGTTTTGTATTCTTGGGATTGAGATTTGATAACGCAAATCACAAGCTAGTGAAAAAAAAAAAAACCAAAAAAAAAAAACAAGCTAGTATGCCGGCTCTTCGTGAGAAGAACTTCTTTGTTAGAAGAGCATTTTTATTTCCTCTTGAAGAGGCAAAGATTTTCCGCTCATCACCCCTCCCTTAGAAGACAGCCTCTGTCAGCCTGTTACAATTGTGCATTAGAGTGGGTGGAGAGTGGCTTATATAGAACCTATTTCTTGGCCAAAAGTGTGTGTGTGTGTGTGTGTGTGTGTGTGTGTGTGTGTGTGTGTGTGTGTACACACGTTGGAGATGAGAATTTAGACTGGGGAGGCTGAGAAGCAGAGCTGGTTCCCTACAAGCCCGGCTCCTAAGAACAATAGTCTCGTACACTGTTAAAGACAAGCAGCCAGTTGTGAGCAGGGGTCAAGGTCTTATTACCTGAGTGTCAAATTTAGCAGCGCTGTACAAGAAGGATTTACAGATGTCGTACATCCCATCTGTGTCACAGGTGGAGTTTTCCAGGCATGCAAAAGCTCCACAGCCAACCTGCAGAGCGCTGTTGAGGCAGCGAACCACTTCAGCTGAAAGAGACAAATCCATCCAATCTGGGTCAAACGGTGAGGACAGTCTGGAGGGATCAAGCTGATGTGGAGGCAAAATTCAAGGAAAAGGGGTCAGAAGAACTTATCCTAGAAGTCTGTGATGGGGCCAGTAGATAGACCCATTCCGAGCGGGGTGGGAGTGAAAAAGAGAGGGGACAGACAGATCCCTTTTGCTTATAAGAACCAGAGAACATGGAGGAAGGGAATGAGTTTTCCCTCAGAGATACACTCTCTTGGTCTCACCATCACACACAGTTTTGGTGGCAGGAAAAGTAAGGTTGGAGTATGAGGCATGCCCAGTGCTTAAAGCAGCTCTGCAGAATCCAAGGGCATCCCTTAAAGGCTGAAAGCATGGGAAGGTAGATGGTAGTGGTGGGTGGTCAAGGTTAGGAGGAGGAAGGACCAGGGAATCCATTTGGCTTCCAAAAAATACACTCCAGAGTCATAAGGGTGGAATTTTGGTCTAAATGGCAGAGAAGAATTTGCCAGGAGTCCACTAGGAGACCCTTCTGATTTAACTTACCTTCCTATTGGCAGAAAGAAATCTGATCCGTTCATGTTTCATCCCAACCCCCCGCTATAGGACAGTGCTTAGAGGTATGCATAATCTCTCTCATATTAAAAGCCTTTTTTTTAAAAAAAAAAAAAGAGAGAGAGAGAGAGAAACACAGGTGTAGAATAACCAGGCCAAGGCAACACTTGTGCAAGACTGGAAGAAAACCGCAGAGAACTTGCATGAGGCTTTCTACATTCTGGATAAGATCTTCCATAAAAGTAATTTCTCTCCTACAGAAGAGGGGTGTTCTGGCAGGCAGCTCCGCGAGAAATGATCTGCAGCCTTCATACCATAGGAGTCTCCTCTGAGATCAAAAGCACGGTTCCGTTAGGCGGCCCCTCCCCCTCCCACCACCCGCAGCCTCTGGGATGTTACAAGTCATTTCCCTAATTATATATTTCCACGGGTTCAAATGATAACTTTGCTTTAAGCAGTTTTAATATGCATTAGGATTGCTATTGTTTTTGGCAAGCTTGAATTGTGAATCACTGCATCTCTATAGCAACTAAGTACAAAAGGAAGTGAAGCAAAGCCCTCCTCTCGGCAGGGACCTGTGCTCTTCGAAGCAAAGCCTTCCTCTCGGCGGGCACCTGTGCTCTTCGGGGGGGAGCAGCGTCTGCAGCATTTGGACACCTGCGAGCCCATCTTTGCTGACAGTTGGGGGAGAGAGAGCAGTCATGGAAGGGGAGCAAGCTGGACAAGCGAAGTCCAAAGACAGAGGTGTCAATGCCGGCTTCCTAAGGACTCTTTTCCTTTAGAGACCAAGATAATACACAATTAACTGCTCAAGGAGTCAGGGCTAGAGTGAGACCTCTCCCTTGGAGAAATAGCTGCTACGTTTCACAGATACTCTTTTTCGAAGGGCTCTCTAGCCACGGGGCTGCGTGGGGACTGAATGGAGCCCGAGAGAGCAGGGAGGGACAGAAGGAACAGTGTCGAGGGTGGGATGTGTAGGGTTTTCTCTGAATCTGCCCTGGATTTGTCAGACTGGAGGGCTATGGTTCTGTAAATCAGTCTGCAAAGGGAGCTTTCTGTGTGTTCTCTGGAGGGGCAGGGAAGTCAAGTTATAGGGTCTTCAGGGTAAAGAAAGAGGGACAGCATCAGACAAGCCACGTCTCACCTTAAGATCAGCTTCAGCTTCTGGAAAGTATAGAGAGCGCTTTGAAGCATGCCAACATTCAAGTCTTTCCCCCGCCCCCTCCCCCCCAAGAGGGTACGTGCCAGATTTCAGGCAATCAGGCTAGGCTTATGCAATGAAATACCCTCAGCAGAGCGCCCAGCTTCTTCGTTAGTTGCATGCAATTTATTAAACAAAGGAGCTCCACTTCCTAAGGCTATTGGATTACCCTGGCAGTTTATTGCCATCAGGCATGAAGCACATTTATTATCAAGATCAGCCGTCACAGACACAGTTGCAAAAGCGAGAGGCAAATGAGGACAGCTCTTTGGGGGAGAAACCGGTCCTGGGTTTGCCGCTTACCTGAGTTCTGAGCTGCCACCCGGGCTTTCCTGGGGCTCACAGAATCATTCTGCTCCGCCTCATGGGTTGCAGAAGCACTGATCACCAGCACCAGAAGCACTGCTGAGTTTTGGAGCATTCTCTGAGAAGTTTCCGCTAAGTTGTTGGGTTTTTTTTTTTTTTTTCTCCCCCCCCTTTCCTCTTTCCATCTCCCGGCTCCAGTGAAGATGTGGATCTGGATACACTGAGAGCCTAGGTGAGGATTTGATGAGGATCTTTTTGTTGCGCTTTTGCTGCTGCTGCTGCTGCAGTCGCTGCTTCTTGCACCTCTGGCTTTTGCAAACTGGGGGCCCAAGAGCTGCACCCAGGGATTTTATAGCCGTTCTTATCGGTCCTCAGGATCAGGGACCAATCAGGTCCCTCAACTGGTCTGGCCAGCCAATCGGAGGGCATGCTCATTGGGCTGGAGCTGTTTGACTTCTTAGAAATATTTTCCAGCAAATTAAAAGTACCTGCTGCCAATGTCTTATACGTGTGCGTGACTGTGTGTGCAGAGATGTGTGAAAAAGCTGTTTTCACAGAATTAAGGGATGACTTTGTATTGATCTAATGAAAGGGAGATCATATGACTGTCTCAACAAGGTGCCTTGGGAAATCTATCCATCTCTTTTAAAAAATGTGCTATGGGGAGGAATGGGCAGCACAGGCAGGATGAGTAGTGTGGTCTCTTTGGATTCGAATTTAGCCTCATTATAGCAGTTTTACTATCATTTTCACAGCACATTCTCTGTGTTGTAAGCTACATACACCATACCTCCCCATCTTCTCAGTTTAAGCATGTTTACAGGTCTGTGAGGCATTTTGGTTGTATGTAGACATCCTGAGTTTTCACATGTATGAGCCCTTGGGAAGGGACATATAGGAGGGGGAGGGGCCCTCATGGACTGGAATATGACAGCTCTGAGCTGTGGCCCAAGTTCCTCTTTTGATTAGCTCTATGACCCTGGTCAAGTCCTTTTACCTTGTTCTACCTGTTTCCCGATCTGTCAAATGCCAAAGTTGGAGTCTAGCATTCTTTACGCCTCTAAAACTATGATTCTCTAGTAACACAAATTAACCTCGACTCCATCTTTTTTGTTACCAGCACGACTACAAACTCCAAGAGTGTTAGTTACTACAGGTGGACACATGCACACCTATGTACACTACGCTCAACAGGGAGACATCATGAATGCCTGGAAATTAATAAACTGTGTATTCAAGCCCAACAACTTCATGATCACGTTGAAACAATAAGCTGGCCAAAGTAAGACTAAATCTGCTGGGTAAACCAATTCATTTCTTGGGGAGGGGGAGGGGTAAGGGGGTGGGCAGGACAGGGAAGAAGGGGCAGGAGACCAGAATGTGTAGGAGAAAAGACAGATAAGCTCTAGACATAATAAGAAAATTACAGTGGCATCACAAACATGCCTAGGATAGAAGCTCATATTTTCTTGTAAGTGGGTTGTAGGCAACACTGAGGCTTGTCACTAACTTGTGAAGGAAGCTAATGATCTCAGAGAGGACTTAGGGTAGAAAAGTGGTCATTAAGGGCTGGGTTGAAGTAAAGGATTAAGCAAGGCAACCTATAAACATTTTGGGGAGGTAAATGAGAAAGGGCCATTGGAGATTCATACAGACAGGGGCAAGATGACCTTGTAAGGAAACAGAGCCAGTGGCTTCTGTGTAAATCCTCAAATCTTCAAACAAAGGTTGAAGAAAGAGCGCCAACTCTATTAACCACAAACCAAGAATCAACCCTACATGTGTGTGGGGAGTGAGCTTGCTGAGTGATTAGAGGTTCCCTTGCCAAAAAAAAAAAAAAAAAAAAAGGTTGTTTGGAAAGCATGAAGTTTGCTAGAAAAAGGGATAGAGGAAATAAAGGATAGAGGGAATATCCAAAGAAAAGAAAGGGAATTTTCAAATTTCCATTAAATAATAGTGTTTTTCAATTTAGATTAACTGACAGTATTTGTCAAGTGTCTTCTAGGCTGGGAGCTAGTGGATGAGTTGGGGAAGGTAAAGGAGAAGAGAGATAGAAGGAAGAAAAGTAATGATTCTTATCATCGAGGAGCTTGTAATCAAGTTGGGAAGACAGTCAACCCCAGTCGTATTTCCTAAAGGTTCAGGATGTCAGGACCTTGCATGGTAAGAGAAGAGCATGGTCAACATTGGCTAGAGATGTGGGGAAGCCTTCATGGAAGGGTCAGTGCAGGAAAGATGTGAGCTGCTGTTAGTGCCTTTTAAGAATTTAGGAAAAAGCCATGATATTTCATTTTTTAAAGCACTTGTGTTCTGGAAATCTCAGAGGTTGTTTTTATTGCTTTAGGTAGGAGTGGTAGATGTATGGCACTATGGCACGGCAACATAGTCATTCAGTGTTTTCTTCTAGAAGGAAAAAGAGGACAGATGCATGCATATTATTCCCAAGGATTTGGATTTCTGTTCCTCAGCATTCTCTGCCTCCTTAGCCATTGTTTATTTTTCTTATTTTTTTAAAAATAAATTTATTTATATATTTATTTTTATCTTTGGCTGCGTTGGGTCTTTGTTGCTGCGTGCGGGCTTCTTCTAGTTGTGGTGAGCAGGGTGAGCACTTTGGTGAGCACTTCGTTGCAGTGTGTGGGCTTCTCATTGCGGTGGCTTCTCTCATTGCAGAGCGCTGGCTCTAGGTGCACGGGCCTCAGTAGTTGTGGCGCATGGGCCCAGTTGCTCCATGGCATGTGGGATCTTCCCAGACCAGGTATTGAACCCGTGTCCCCTGCATTGGCAGGCGGATTCTTAACCACTGCACCACCAGGGAAGTCCCAACCATTGTTTATTGTTAATGGCAGTGCTGTTTCTCTTGTTAGACTTTCCCTGTGTTGACCTACTGGCTTTGTAGGGTGATGACTTACTTTCCACCATCCACATTTTTTCCCCTACACTCTGGTGCTCCCACCAGAACAGATTGTTCCACAAGTGTCAGGATGTGTTTTGCATTTTCTCTGATGTTGATTTATAGTTTCTCCTTATTTCACTCACTTACTATCGTGTGCCTGGAGGTTCCTAGCTGGGTGTGTGAACTGTCTCACAATGACAGATAAGCTCTCAGCTGAAGAAATCCAATAGTGGGCAGCCATATTGGTTTGCATATTAATTAGTGCATCAGTGCATTTGAGAACATCAAAGGCAGAAGCTGAAGCCTAAGTAGAAATGCCCAGTGGAAATAAAGTTTCTTCCCCAGAGTTCAAGGACCTCTAAATGTCCACAATCATTGTGCTCCTCTTGGACTTTGATATAGCAATGATAGAAGAGTCTTGGGAACACTGGAGGTGATGGCTAGTTTCTAAGGAGTTTGAATATCAGATTTCAGAGTTTGAATACTATCTTGCAAGCAACAAGGAGTCAAGGGTTCTTGAGTAGGAATTGTTAAATGTGTTGAAATTAGCATTTGGGGAAGGTCTTTTGATTGTACTTGTGATGGTTTGGAGGAAGAAAAGAATGGCGGTTGTAAGACTAGTTAGTAATATCGGTTTGCTTTGATGCGGTCCTGGACAACCACAGTAGTAATAGGAAAGGAAGGGAGAAAATTATGAGAGATATTTTAAGTAAAATGGAAATTATCAATTAACCTAAGAAATTTATTGGAAAAAATCTTTCTCGTAGTTTCATGATAATGAAGATAATGTACATCAGGGTTTTCCGTTCCCCATTCATTGGTTATGATTTTTAGTGGATAAGACTATCTAGCATCTCGGTTAGGCAGGCACTTTCTGGGGTTCTGTTAAGGTAGTAATTTACCCAACAAAAGGACTTGATGTGCTTAAGGTAGGTGAGGAACTGTGCAGTAGGTGGGAGGGGAGGGAAGCCTTTGCCATTACCCCCAAGCAGGGAAAGTGCAAAGGAGTGGGTGGCAGAAGCTGCCAACACCTAAGGCTGGATGATGGTGCCCTGGCTGTGCCCATGCAAGGCTGGCATGAATTCAGTGAGAAGATTAAGCCAAAGATCTCTGGGGCTTTGTTGGATTTGGCTAGCTTAAAGCTGAGCAGTGAATGGCTCTTGGCCTTTTGGTGAGAGCAGCCAGGAGCATGGTTTCTTGGTAAATGTTTCTTTTGTTGTTAACAGAGTGCAAGACTCATCAAGGTTGGTGTGACATGGTGACCAAGGCCGGAGTGTCATCATCGCGCTTTTATGGGAATTTTAGGCCCGACTGCACTGTTGGACTCTTGAGTCATGCCTTCCTAACCTCAGGAAAAAGGATAGGACGAGGGGGAGAAATAACTTTCATCCTCCTGTGAAGATACCAGCTTTTCTGTGTGGACGGTCTCAAATTCTTGAGTCTTAAATTCTTTACCTCTCTAAGTTGCCTTTGATTGCTTTAAACTCTGCCAACGAAGGAAAGGGAGAAAATATATTAAGAGGGCAAACTCCCCTCACCCTCACTGACTTAGGGAGGGTTACTGAGTGCTTGGCACTAGGTTAGGTGACGTGGGAAAGGCAGAGAAACGTTTGATGTTTTCCTGTGCTCCATGAATTCCCAAACCAGTTCTTAACGCACGAATGTTGTATTCGATGAGGAAGAATATCTGTTTTCTGGAAATATAATGCGGTAAGTGGGTTGGACTAGAGTTTACAGGTTTAGATTCAATTAACATTTACTGGGTGCCTATCTGCTCTGTGCCAGGCATTGCTGCCGGTGCTTCATATCTGTGAGAAAAAACCCTGCTGTCCTCTCCTTCCACAGGAAGAATATGGGACCAGAGAGAAAATGGTTTATGCATGGTCATAGGGTGGATGGTGGAGCTAGGTTGCCTGAGATTTCTTATTCTAGAAGGTGCTCTGGGTTCTTCAGTTGTGTGACCCCCGCAGTGCAGGAGAAGTTAGTGCCCTGCCCCTCGGGGTGGGGCAGGGGAGGGAAAAGAAATACACAGGATGACCTAACATGTTTAAACCAGAACAGGCAAGTTGACCTTAGCCTCTACGCCTGTGAACACTGGCATACCATCCTTTCAGGTGTAAGTTACAATGTCACTTTATATCAGGGAGGACAAGTTCATAGTCCCTGTTACTCTTCCGCTTCATAGGAGGCTCCTGAAACAAGTACAAAGAGGATACGTGTGTCATTGAATCTGTCAGTACCAATGGCCCTTTGGAGACTTGAAGGGACATTACTCTATTGAGGCACACGAGGGCGCCCGAACCAACCAGCAAGGAGATGTTTCTTCTACTTTAAAAAGAAAGTGTGAATGCTGGC